TGGACTTCTTTTTGCTTTGAGGGGTCCCCAAAATGGATATGTGGATGTTATTGCTGTTGAAAAAAACCTTATGGATTTAATTGGATTCTTTGTGGACCCTCAATGCTGGGCTAATAACTGGAGAAAAAGTGAAGATTTGAAATTGATGGGACAAATCCTTGAATTTGTTGATGAAAACTTCCTTAAAACCCAACCACAATCAGAAAGACCAATCAACAAAAGATTGCAAGATACATTTGAACAAAAGGGAGTAAGAAAGAGATTGAATTTGATGTTTTCTAGAATCCAGGCTCTGCAAGAGTTGGAAAGTTTCAAAAAGTATTTGAATGAAAGCTTTCCTCTCAAGAAGAAAAAGAGCATTGAAATGCCAATATCACCCCTGCAAGAACTGGAATATATTGAGCATGAAATCTATAATTCCAAAATTCAAACTGAATACCGGAACAATCTAACAATGAAAACCGAGGATTTGGAGGATTGCCAAAAAGAAATGAAGGATCAAATCAAACATTTGCAAGCAAAAATTAACAGATTAAGAAAGTGGTCTTTTTAGTCAGGAAATTTACATTCAAGAATCTTATATGTTTGGGTGACAGTACAAAAAAATGAAATCCATTCCTGGGATTGGAAGAACAGGTTTGTGATTATTTCAAAATGAAGAAATCACCAAACATGCTTGGGTTTGATTCAAAAAGTTCTTGTTTGACTTTTTTTATATCAAATTGAAGAGGGTACTGATCATTCAAACTCTCAATTTAATTCATCACATAATTTCATTTCTCAGTAAAAGTGGCATTCATTCTCAATGCCAGTAAAAAACCACATAAAAAAACACACCAAAGAAAACACACAAAAAGCAGCACAAAAACAAAAAATAACCAAAAAAAAAATAGAATTTTCATGTTTCAATTTCAAACACATATACTTTTCTTGATTCAGTCACTCATTTGTTTGTTTTTTCCACTGATTTTCAAGGATAGATGCACCAACAAAACTAAAATATGTGGCAATTCTAGACTTATCCTGGATTATCTGCTCACAACATCATGATTCATCTCAATTTTCCATCACCTCAGGTGATACGTAAATCTCCCTTGCTCTCTTCATATATTTCTCATCATACTCCTTTGATGCAACTGTTTTTATTTCATCATTGATTTATGATCTTATCCATTACAGTTGTAATGCTCTTCCCAGTTTCATATGTTCATTATATCTTTCCATCTGCTTATCTTCCTGTCTAGCTGAACCACATTTTGAACATCTTAGAGTAGTCTCCTTAGACCAACTTAACAACAGGAGTAATTCATTATCAGATCTAAAGCATACTTGTCTTGTGCCACTCCGGGCTCCTTAAAGTTCCTGACCAAGTCCCATTGCCAGTTTCTCAAAAACTTGAGCTTTTGATCTTTCAATATCCTCCAGCACAGTTACTGCATGAATCTATATTCAGATCTTTTGATCAGTTGGTGCACAAAAAAGAGACTCAAAAGGTGACAGCATGGGTGTAACTAATTCGCATTTCAAGTTGGTAAATTAAACCTCACTCAAGTACGACACACACTCATGAGTTTGTCTTGCTTAGATCATCCACATGTGTGGCTTCTATTTCTGAGCCAGGCAGCCAGATTCACAAATCAATCTGGTGTAGTCAGCAACCCAATACCATATCTTTCCAGTACACAACTGAAGCCAACTTGGCCTTCAACCAGTCATCTAGAGTCATATTCTAGTCCCTCATTGAACTTGAACATGCATAACTTTCAAGCAGTATGTTAAAGATATGTATGATGCAAAAAGTGATAGACTTGATGATATTTCAAGTCTCAGATACTTCAATTCTATTAGAGGGGTTCACACTTGAAATTTATCAAGTCTTTATAGTCAATTTTAAGGTCCCTATCAGCAACATTTTGAATTTTTGACAAGATGTACATATTTTAGGGTTTCTGAACAATCAGAACAACTTTCTCATTTTTCAAAAAGTTGTTGAGAAACACCTTAAAATGGGCTTCAAAAATTGTGGTTTGAACTTTAAATAACCCCTCTATTATCTATGTACTAGCTTCCTTATCCACAGATGCTACAAATCAATTTCCGTTGTCAAGAGCTCCAAAGGCTACTGACAATCTGAAATGATGTGTGCTGTTTCTCGTTCTTTGCAACCACCTCGTTGCTGGGATCGACACCCGTTGGTGTGACTGGGACTTCCCGACGTCTGGTGAACCCCGATCATTAATTGCGTATGTGCATAAATATGTATTACGTAACCCAATCATCTGTGAAAACTTGTATCGTGGCTACATACTGCGTATACAGAGTATCCACAGCCAGCTACATCCATGCCCTCAGCTCAGCCTTCATGTGTACCCTCGACTCCTCCGTTACTCCTCCGGGTGGTTCCACCCGTCTCAGCCTCGATCCACTTCCCCCCTCTCTCTCCCTCGGGCCGACCAGCTGCAACTTCTTCCTCCTGACCACCAACCAACACCACCCACCACCCACCACCACCACCACCACTCCATACACACACACACATCTGGATATCCTGCATATCGCTTAAATACTCACTTACTCTATCCAGCTCTTCGCCACCCAGTGACAGCTTCTGCCCCAGGAAGAGTCAGTCTTGCTCCTCCAGGTCTGTTAGATCGATCGATCGATTCAACTTGCAAGTCGTCCATCTACTGACTGCCCAATTTCTTAATCCGTGTGCATACAGCCATCCAGATGGCTGAACTTGACCTCTACGGTGATCTGTATGGTGACGTGGATGATGTTGGGTCGCCAGTCGCTCTGTCTCCCTCTCAGCAAGCTGCACCACACAACGACCCAGCAAGCGGAATGCAGGCCGAACAGAGGGCCAACGCCCCAAGTCCTCCCGCGGGCGTTCCCGACCATCCGATGAACAACCCTCCCGCATCGCAACCTACAACGTTCTCCATATCTACCTACGAAGATCCATCGTATGCTAATAAGAAACACAATCCAACCGGTCAATCGGACTCCCCTCATCCACCTCGCCCTTCTGTCGATACCAATTCTGCCTCTCACACTGGCCCGGGTAGCAAAGTGTGGGGGGTCAAACCCTCTGACATGCCTGATGAAGGGTTAGTGATTTGTTTTTTTCTCTTTCTATTCCTGACCACTCCACTTCTTCTATCAGAAAAAACACCCCCTTCCTCTCCCTCTACACCTTCTCTTGCTATTCATCCGCATACTCGTCGGCGAACCTTGGAAACATAAACCTGCTGATCTCATCCAACCACCCCGAGTTCCTCGAGGCAACTATCCTCAACTGCATATCTGCTTATGTACATCTTGGCTGGCTTATCAAACTTGAATGTTGCACCGAGTCCGATCGACTTGAGCTATCAAATAATAAAATCATTTCCAACTTACACTAGCTAGTAATTGGATTATGGTCATCATCATCATGATTTCTCAGTACTAAGGCCCACAGGAACATTGCAAACATAAACCTATATTACGGCTACGTCTAGATTATTTCTTTCTTCTTCTTCTTCTTCCCTTAATCTTGTCATAGACTGTATCTACTGCTTTGGTGCTTACATTGATAGACTACTAATTACCGAAATTCTTCTGATCTATTATGTAAACATATATGTTCCTACACACATGCTCGCTCCAATCCGATTGGCGAAAATAAAAACTACAAATTGCGTTAAAATTACAAAATTCACTACATCGTGACCTACCTAGCAAAATGTTCGTTGGCGGATTAAACTGGGAAACCACAGAGGGTTCGTGCCAACTAAATACTGTTTGTCTGAAGAAGAAAAAAAAAGAGACTTCGGTTTCACACACACACTTGAGCCTCATACGAGATCCCATTACTTTTTAACGTTTGATTAATAGATGCTCTGAAGCAATACTTTGCTCAATTCGGCAATGTCGTACACTGCACAATCATGAGAGACCCCACCAACGGACGTTCGAGAGGATTTGCTTTCTTGACCTTTGCTGATCCGACGGTAGTCAACAAAGTGATGGTAAAGGAACACTTTCTTGATGGAAAACTTGTGCGCGGTTTGGCATCTTTTTTTCATATGGCCACTGCCGAGAATACCGTCTACAAGTAGTGGTTGCTTGGCATGACCAGTATTCGATCTCGGCAGGTTTGATCTGCCTCCATGAAGTGCCGCGAAATATTGACGAGATGTATGTCATCTTGTATTGCAGATCGACCCCAAGAGAGCGATACCCCGGGGAAGTGGCCCAGGCCCTTCGGCAATCGCTGGCGCTCCCATGGCCGACCGGCGTGCCGCTCATCATCAATTCGGAGCAGAGACACCAGCTTCTCTGAGCAATAAACTATTCTGCCGGGGCATGCCAGAAGATGCGACTCCTCAAAGTAAAACATTTTGCTCGATCTTACCTCTCCGAATGACCACTTGAACCGTATAAACTACGACATCTGACCTTTTTCCCTTCTATTTGACTTGGCAGGTTTTCGAGCTTTCTGGGCGCAGTATGACTCGCAAGCCAACATCGAAGAAGCTATTCTGATGATGGATCGAGATAGTAATCGACATCGTGGATTTGGATTCGTGAACTTGGTGACTGGCGATGATGCGGAGTCCCTGCTGAGGTGTGGACCATTTGTTATGGATGGTCATCCGGTAAGTTCGATTGAGAGTCAAACTGTCCAGCGTTGTTTGAAGACTGATTGGAGGATCAAATTAGTTGGAGGTCAAACGGAAAGCACCAAGCCGTGCAAGGTTTGACGGCCGGGAAGATCTGGCTAAAATGGCCCCTGCCCCGCTCGATCGCTATGGGGTACCTTACGCTGGGCCAGCCCACCACAATCCTGCTCCATTCCATCCGGCGCCTATGGGCGGTTACTTCAAGCCGGGGATGTCGGGCCCGAGTTGGAAAGGATGGAATCCGTCGATGGTCCAGCCGATGGCAGGTGGCCCGAATCGAGGACTATACATGGGCATGGGGATCCCGCACGACGATCGGGGAATGGGCCCGGCTCGCGGGATGATCCACGATGTCCCGGGGGGAATGGTGGGTGCTTACGGTGGGCCGTACCATCGCTCTGCTAGTGGCGGCTATGGTCATGATTGGCGAGGTGGACCACCGGGAATGAGAGCTGTTGGACCAGGCGCTTACCCTCCGTACCATCAACACTCCAACCCCCCATCATCCGGAGGACCATCCCGAAATCAACGTGGCCCACGCAACTACGCTCCATACTAGGATAAAATCAAATTTTAACACACGAATACTCAGCCCTGTCTCTCCATGACTTTCGGCCGGTTCATCGACTGGTTGGATCGATGGTTCTGTCTAATTCTCGGTAAGACCTATAGGGGGAAACGTCACAATCGGGACGATCAAAGGCCTCGTTGGCGCAGGTGCTTTCCAATGTCTCACTTTTTCTTCTTTCCGAAATCGATTACTTTGGTCTTTTTTCCTCCTGATCAGTTTTAAAATATATATATATACATATATCAATACGATTTTAGGCCAATACATGATGAAAAAGATCCAATCAATTACAAGTCTTTACTCTTGTCTCTTCTTTCTCTTTCCTGCTCTCTCTCTCTATACATCTTTTTTATATATAGAGAGACAATTTTAAAAGCTCTACTGTGTAGGGGAGTTCTGATATGATGAGATATTTAGCACTTGATGATTGATAGTGCTATAATCAAATCAATCCTGTGTTACATGTATGATGATCTTTAGAGAATTATATATAATTATCTTTATATAACGCTCTCTTTAGATTACTATTCTTTTTTTTCCCTTTTTGAAGTCAATTATTCTTTTGTATCTATTAGTAGGTTGAGTGTTTTTCTTTCATTTTTTTTTCTTTATTATACATATACAAAGTTTTATACTGCTATATCATGGTCTCCTCATATTTTGTCTTTAGAAAAATACAACTTTTCAAACGTCAAATGTGAGATCTCTTTGAGTAGACTAGCAGAAAGAATGTTTAGTTCTAAAGGACAAGTATGTAAAAATGACTTCAACATAGCTTGATGACAAAACTAGATATCTGGCCATCTACTCTTAGAGTAGTAGTAGCAGTACTACTACTACTACTACTTACTTAGATCCATTGGATAGGTTCAGCTAGGGACATTTCATTTGTAATCATTGTCTTGGGAACTGTGTTATATTCAATTCTGTGGCCAATCATGTTTGACTCTAATTAACCTTGGACATTACAATCATCTCAAAAGCAATAAATGCCCAAAATTGATGAACCATTTTAATAGTATCTTCATCTTTGTCTTTGTGTATGCTATCTTCTTGTTTTGAAGCCCATGATTAAAAAAAAGACAGGCTTTCTAGATTAATGGTGAGTCTTTTTTTTGTTAAGGCTATAAACTGTGATAAGGTGTTGGCTAAACAACTGCTAAGACTGGGATCAACGCTGCCACAGATACAATACACTGTGTGTATCATGGAGAATTCTGCAAAGCTTCATGGCCAAAAACCAAATTTGTTGAATCTCCTTGCAAATAAAAGCAGATTGGTCAGATAGTTTTTTTTTATTGGGGCTCAGATACATAGTGATACATGGCAGATATGGGCAGATACCGTATCTGTGGCAGTGTTGCTGGGATGAATGATTTCCAGAAGTAGCCAATGTCCACTGGACGCCTGACGGAATCTAGAAACAATAAGTAGACCAGAAATACATAATGAAGTGTAGATCTCTGTGTATCAGTTACGCAGAATGTGATCCTGCAATGTTCTTGTTCAGCACGCGCACTAGTGACACAATTATCCAGTCTTCGTGATTTCTTAGTCGACTTGGAAAGGTAAGTGACCTGAAGTTTCATTTTGATGAGGTTGATGCCCTTTATTTACAGGCTTTGACAGGCTCAATTGCAAGGGCAACAAGATAAATAGATACATACCAGATGTGTTGAGGAATGCAGACTGGAATTGCCAATGAAACACAGTTGAAAATCATGTCCCGAATCCGGCTGTCACACTTCTCCAGCCTTGTTAGGCCATCGGGAACGATTTGTTACCTGTCAGGTGGGCATGTTGTTTGCAAGGATTACCGAAGTCCTGGGGAAGATTTCTCCTCAATCAGGACCTGCAAAATTACTCCCCTGAAAGCAAATGCAGGGTATAGCCTATAGGGACTCGCTCCGGGTTGGATTACAATTTGGAGAGCAACTTAGTTCTACTTGCAGAGGAGGGTTCTTCACCGGCAAGCGAGTGGAGTACATACCTGGAAGGAATCTTAGAAGTCGGAGTGCTGCGAATGCAAATCGGACTTTTCATTACTCCTCATTTGGTCATGATGATTTGCCTTGTGATTATACACTTGGCTGTGACTTATTGCTCCTAGATTCGCCCACCGCACTGGACTGCTCAGTCTGAAGGCCCTCGTGAGAGAGTTGTAGGATCCCAGATTTGACTACAGAGAAGTCTATGAGTTGTTGCTCTCAATCTTTTGATGTCTCATAATTTATTAGATAAAATTGGTAGCAGGAGATCTACAAACTTAAGACAAAGCCATCAAGAGCTAAGACCCCATTTGAGAAATTTTACAAGGGTTTGACATTCATGGTCTTTATTTGTCTTTGCTATTCCTATAAACTTGAGAGAACATCCACTTAATCACTTGACAGAAGCTGTAAAGAATTGGCTCCCTATAAGAGCTCTCAAACCAAAATTTATCAAGAGTTTGTGAAGAAGTCTGCTGCAGGGATAATGGGGAAATCTTCATGGGATCAACAAGTTAGAAGGATTTTTTTGTTTCTCACAAATTAAGATTCCACATGTGCAGGGAGAATTTTGTGGACAAGTGACAGATTCATATGAACTTGTTACACACAGGACAATAAGACTACTCCACTGTTGCTATGCACATCACCACTTTATTTAAGTTTTCAACAGCTCAGCTAAATGATTTGGGACTTGAACAATGATGAATTAAGTTTTTTCAAGCCAATATGGCTGGCTATCTTGATAATAATTGGAAAAAAAAAGTTAAACTGAGTCAATCAATTTCATAACAAGTACATAGATCCAAATTGGGAACACCAATTAAAAGATTTTAATCTGATGATCAATTTGTCAAGGTTGATTTTTGTTTTTTGTGAAGCAATGCAGATTTTCAAGTAGAAATGAAAAAGGAGAACTCCTCAAATTGTCCAACAAATATTTAGTTTTTTTTTATTCTTTACTGTTCCTGCAATTCAACGTAATTTGCTGGAAATAGGCCTCTTTGGCCAGATGAAGCAACCGTTCCAGTCCACCAATCCTCAGATGAGTATTCAATGTCAATGATCTCTTCTGCTTCTTGGAAAGCTACAAATAATATGGATAGAATTCTGATCAGTGCTCCTGAGAGTAAACTCGACATGTGAACCGAAAACTGTCCACTTACTGATCTCATTATCTTCCCCGGCCTCATAATCATACATAGCAATCGCAAAGATTCCCTTGATTCCCGCTGGAACTGCTTCGACTGCTTCTTGTACTTCTTCTGCTGGTGGGGGTGCTACCGCTTCTTCTTCTTCTTGATTTGTCTCTGTTCCTTCGGTGATCAAGCTCACACAAGTGGCTGATGGAAGCCATCACAAACCACACTCCTTAGTCGACTTGGCACGAATTGCTATTGTAGGATTGGTAGCTTACCGGGAAACAAGCCCTGTCGCGTGCCATCTTCACTCATTCCAGTCCACCAGCCTTCATCAACTTGTTCGATATTTACGATAGTCTCTCCTTCGACCAGGCCCAGTTCATCGGTGTCGGCCTTCGATACATTGGATGATCAAATCAGTCCATTCAACGTGTACAAGGGCACTAATCAGGGGTACTGACCTGTTGATAGTCGTATATCACCACGGCCCGTAAGCCGTTACTGGAGGTAGGAGGAGCTGCATGATCAGATTCAAGAGCCAGATTGTTCATTTTTTGGTGAAGTGCCTCTTCCGCATTGGCAACGTTTTGCACAGGATCTTCGCGACTGGTGATCACTGCAGCTGGAGCAGGATTGACCATTGGGGGTGGTGGTGGCGCAGGAGGTGCTGGAGGAGGGGGAGGCGGGGGTGGCGGGGAATCAGCCATAATCGGTTCCGACGGAGCCGGCGGTGGGGATGGGGGACGAGGAGGAGGCGGTGGAGGCGGCTGTGCAACATTGGGCTCAAAGCCTTCGTCATCAGATTCTTCTTTTCGTGCAGCAGGAGTTTCGAAGTCATCATCACGGGTGGGCGGAGGATAAGATCGAACTGGAGGAACAGCCATCATCCCAGCCGAAGGAATCCGGTTACCCAAAGGATTGCTCTTTTCAATGGCAGCTCGACTGCGCTCTTCCTCTTCCGCGGCCACCTTCTTTGCTAGAGCTTGGCGCTCAGCCCAGGTCATCTTCTTACCACCACTCGCGGCCGAAACTGCGGGATTGACTTCTTGCGGTGTGGAGAAGGCTGAGAGTCTACTTCCAAGCTTCCCGGGTTTCCCAAGTGATACCGGAGTATATGCGGTTCCCTGATAAAATTTCAAATGGGCCAATCAGTTTGGATTTTGCATACAAACCCAAGCCAAACGATGATATTGAACCTACAACATAACCCGGGCGTCCTTCGTTATCATTTTCCTGTGTGCTTTTTGGTTGTGCAGGAGCTTGGGTAGCAGGCGGGCGGGTAGGAATGACTGGTGGTGGAGGGGTAGAAGTAGCTTTGATTGTCGGCTCAAAATCATCATCATTCATGTTGCGCCCGACAGGAGCCCGGGCTGGTACTGGGGCTACCGAAGGAGCTGTTCGCGCGGCTCTGATCTCAGCTAGTTCATTTTTCATAGGCGTATACGAAGTACCGACTGGGGCAGGAGGGGTGGGCTTTTGCTTGCTGGTCATGGAAGCAATGTCTGGACGTCCGATAGGTTTATAATTCGTACCCTATGAAAGCAAAATCAATCGATGCACTGATCTCCAGACTGTTACTAGGACACATACCACAGGCGCAGGCATCTCTCGTTTGACTGGTTTCTCATTATGTACGCTATACTTGGCACCGCTAGAATCGGCTACTTTTTTCATGATATGGGAAGGCTCGACATCGGCGTCGCATCTCGCGTTGATCTGGACGTGATACCTAGGTAGCAAGTGAGGAGTCAGATACAATCAGCAAACCATATGACATAGCAAGACATAAAAATTGTCCAAAGCGCCAACCCTTTGAGGAATTGAGCCACTGTGCTTGCGTGTGAATGAAAAAGACCTTTGCGTGATTCAAGTACGCCATCGCCACACTGTTTGATTGAAGGGATAGATATGATTTCAGTACTTTTTGACTTATGCTTGGGGCTCAAAAAA